CTGTGTTTATAAAGAAACTATCAACATCTCATTCCTTAGGAAAGAGGCTTATTGTATATCTACAATCTTACCACATGTATCCTCTAAAGGTAATTTTACCAAGAGTAGGAATTTGCCAAATCAAATGTAAGCAATAACAGATTTTATTTATTTTTTGTCATGGGGGCTGAACTCTGGGCCTGGGCGCTGTCCCTCAGCTCTTCAGCTCAAGCCTAGCGCTCTACCACTTGAGCCACAGCGCTACTTCAGCTTTTTTCTGCTTATGTAGTGCTGAGGAATCAAACCCAGGGCATGTGAGGCAAGCACTACCACTGAGCCAAAATCCCAGCCCCAATATCAGGTATTTTTAAAACCCAAACTTTATGATAAAGGAAAGCTAGGTATGTGCCAAGCACTCACCCCAGACCTAGGTGTGTTTAATAAATTTCTCTCTTGTAAAGCTGACATACTTGTAGAATTACTGTTTACATTTTAATAATGGCTTAAAGGGCAGACACTGCTCACCTGCCAAGAAATGATTACATCAAATTTGTCTTCAGTTAGTTCTGTGGTAGACAGAGCACACAGCACTGAATTGGGACACTTCTGGTCAACCATGGCTTCTACCACCATCTAGCAGTGTGATTCTCAACCAGTTGTCCTCTCCAGTTCTCTATAAAATTGGGGACCATCTATGAGGTTTCCAAGACTCACCTGGCTCTCACTCTACCACTATGAAGAATTTATAATTTATCATGCCTAATACTGATATGAGGATAAAATGTTACCTGTCAGGCAGGTGCCTTGAACTTAAATGAGCATATCGAGTAATGCTAATTATCACCTATTATGTCCTTTGGGAGGAAATAAATTACATATCTTAAGGACAATTATCTAATACCAAAGTAACTGCCATCTTTTCACTGAGGAAATATTAAGACTAACTTAAAGACATGTGGTTCATGAAGTCATACAGTTTGTACTATTTCCAAAGGTTTATCTAGTCTTAGCAGATGCACCGTTACTAACTTAATGAAGTAATATATGGAGAAACACTATTGCTATTTTTATAGGTTCCTACTGTTAGCTCACTCCTTTGACCTCATTGAATATTGTCTACTATTTCTGAACTTCAAGCTGGTAGCCACTGGAGAACCAGTTTCTCACAGGGCTGACCTCCAGTGATGACTGAGGCAAATCTGGGAGTATATTACAAGGGTCACTTGACAGTTTTGGGGGTGGGGGGGAGGGCTTAAGAGGCCCCTAGAGGGACATCCCAGTTATGGTATGAAGGGTGAGTAGTGATATGCTACATGCTTATATTCTGAGGGTTTGGGTGGTACTGGGGATTTAACTCAGGACCTTGCTTCCTAGGCAGGCACTCTACTATTTGAGCCATGCCCTCAGCATTTTTATTTTCAGAATTTGCTGGCTTTTGCTTGGGCTGGCCCTGTTCCATGATCCTATTTTTGCTTCCTGAGTGGCTAGGATTACAGGTGAGCCACTATACCTGTCTCATGCACTTTAGGTTTAGGCCCTTCTCATACATAACCTGGGGTTCCCTCTAAAGTGACCATGACCTTAAGTGCTGGTCTGTTCTGAACAGTCCCAGTTTACTCGATACTTTCAAATATATCTTGGTTAGAACAATCAATTTTAAGCCACTGTAATCAGTCCCTAGCTTGCATGAACCCACCTGACTGAGCTAAGGGCTTAAAACTCCATTTATTCACCTTTGTATCCATGGCACCTAGCATTAAGCTCAATGCTGAATAGATGGGAGTACCAAAACCATGCAAAACAATATTTGAAATTTGAATAAAGCAAATAAATACAAGAAACATGTGAGAATCCTGTTTCTGCCGTGAGCAGTGTGACCTCCAGATTCTTAGGTTTTCACCTGAAAAATTGGGATGACACTTCTTCATAGGGCAGAGGTTTAAATGAGGTATGTCATATGATGTACCTTGCATGTGCCTGGCACACAGCACTGATAGCAGCAGCTGCTGCTGTGGCCAGGGACTCTTCTGTCACATCCTGTTCTTTAAGAAAATCCAATCAGGGGCTGGGAAGGTGGCTCAGTGGTACAGTGCTTGCCTTGTAGACATGAGGCCCTGGGTTCAATTCCTCAGCACCACATAAACAGAAAAAGCCGGAAGTGGTGCTGTGGCTCAAATGGTAGAGCGCCAGCCTTGAGCTGAAAAGCTGAGGTACAGCACCCAGGCCCACAGAGTTCAGGCCCCACGACTGACCAAGTCAGCTCCAAACAAACATATAGGGAGTGTGAGTATGCGAGTAGTCTAGTATGACCTGCAGACTGCAGACCTTTTTTAGATTACAAGATTCATCAAAATTACAATTTAGAAGCCAAATGTTTTGATTCCTCTAAGTCTAGTTTTAGTACTTAAAAAACAAAAGAAAACAAACCCCACCTCACAACTTTCCTAAGCAGATTACAGAAGACACCAGAACTTTCTGGTTGTATCCTAGATGTTAAGTGTTGTTAATTAACAGCATTTAAACCTCACTCCTTTCCTAAAAATTCTCATGAAAGTTCTTTATAAAAGCATGCCAACTTGGATATCTGGATCCATCTCTTCTCCTTCTGAATTGTCAGCCTCTCAGGTTTTATGTGATTAATGTATATGGAGAAAAGTAGAAAAGCCTTAGATTGAGTTAAAAGTGTTCTTGATCCCCCAATTACAATATCCTCTTTTGCAGTGTATCCTTGTTGAACATTTGGAATGAATTAAGACTTTAAACTTCCAGATGTTTAAAGTACTACTGTAAATTTAAACTCATTAAAAACGGGGCAGATTTACTACCTCTACTTAGTTTTGAAGTCTGTTGTTCACTTTGTCCAAATAATTTATGGAACCAAATACAGTGGCATGTATTCTATTTATATAGTATTTATGGTAAGAAATAAGGTGCATAAAAAGGTCTGGAAACTTACTACCACTTTAGCCAACCTATAGATCACACTTATTGTTGTTTCTAAGCTAGTAATTGTTTCCTGAAACTGATCTAGTGGATATTTTTATGCTAATCTGTACTAAAAATGACTTTGTTTTTTCTGGCTGCAAAAAGCTGGCGGCAGAGGAGCATTTGATTATGGCAAAAAGACAGCTGCACCCACTCTTGTGAAATAAATGGACCTGGATCTACAGTCCTTTGTGGTAGTGTCTTGGCAGCCAAACAAAGGTGGCAGCATTTCTACACCCAGTTTGTAAAGCCTCAGAAGTTTCAGGCTGTGATTTTTTTTTTTTTTTTCAGGGAACCCATGTCGACTATAATAAGTACATTTTAGATGCTGTGCTGAAAAGCTGGCAATGGATAAAGCAAGAACATAAAAGAAGACTATTCCCAAAGCAAATATTTCTTTTACAAATCTTTAGGAATGAAGTGGCTTTCATAATCAATTTTAAAACTGAAGGCCTGGATTGAAGTACCTGGCTCTGGCACTCATTAGCTATGTAATTTGAGGGAATTAATTTACCTCTAAGCAGGCTTGGTTTCTCAACTGAAAAACGGGGATAATGCCTGCATAGGTTTTTCTGGAAACTTGAATGAGATAATCAAGATGCTCTGTAAGCTCTGAAGTATCATATAAATATTAATAAACACTGTAAGTACGATTTTCCTGTGACTTATGAATGACTACTTTAAACAGTACTTAAGAAGTCTGCTCTTAAAATGAAACAAAAAATAAACCAGACTCTACCTACTGCAGAGAAGCTGGTCTCTGGAGGGCTCTTTCAACTCAAAGCACTATTTACCTCACCCTAGTTTTTCTAGGAATTAAACAGAAATTACATGAAACTTTTCATAATTGTTTTCATCCATAGATAATTCATAAATTAGTATTTAAACAGTCAATATTCTTAAAGCTTAAAATGTTTAGTGTTTGTTGCATAGACACTTTTGCACACAATGTGGTACCAGCTGAAAACCAGCTCCTTCCTTCATTTCCTCATCCTTCAAGAATCTAGGCTGGCCAAGTGATTGCTTTGACCAGAAGACTGTGGTTTAAATGACATTTCGTGAGTTCCTGAGCCCAGGTTTTAAAGTTACTGCTTCTCCTGTCTTCTTAGTGCTCTAAGACTACCATTTCATAAACCCAAGATAAATGACCACATGGAAAGGCCAAGTAAGTATCCCATTCAGACCCTAGCTGACCTGCCAATGCAAAAAGCCCAGATGAGACTTACAAAACCATAAATCTGTGAGATGTGATTAAATGGTTTCTTTCCAGGGTTGGAAATGTCTAGCTCTAGTCATATATGGCCTGCAAAATCATTTGGTACATTACAGTATAGACACACCAGCTGCTCATGGCCAGTCTGCCTGTATTAATAATTTTGTATGGCTTTCATATGCTGTTTTAAAGCTCATCAGGAAAAAAAGTCCTTAAGCCATGATATTGGAATGGTAGTAAGAAGCTTTAGGTTATGATTGTGATGAGGTTACTAATCATACATCACACAATTCTCACAGCACAATCTTAAGGTTGGTTGTACAGTTAAGGAAACAGACCGAGTATGTAGGCTGTCTAAGTTCTATGACCATCAAGTGTCCTAAGAACTGGATGCAGGTCCTGAAAGGCCAGCTCTCTCCTTCACTGTCATCTTGTCATCATGAACTTGGTCAGTTCTTTCTGCCAAGGACAGAGGCATCTTTCAGAGCTGTGGAAAGGATTTTTTAAAAAAAATCCTGCTGTCTTTTTATAATCTGCATGGGTTCTGTGTCCTGAGTTAACATACCTACTAAGTTTACCCACAACAGGAATGCTCTGCCAACTGTCACTAAGACTCAGTGCTTCAGTAAATGCACTCCATTCAGTTCAAATAACACTAAGTGCAGTTTCTGCAGTTTGAATGACACTAACTTATCCCAACACAAAATAATCCAATGGTAGCCATGCAACCGAATTCATTTAACTAGCACTAATAGGACAAACTTAAGACCATTTATATTAGGAGCCACAGAATACATAATATTTAAAGCCAGGTAAATGGTAATAAGCTCTTACTTTTAATATTTTATATACCTTGAGTAATACACTTCATATAAAAAAGCCACAAAACACTTCATTTGAATTGTGTAACTGATTATTGTAAGAGAATTTACAAGACTGTGTTTTGACTCCATCAAAAATAATGTATCTGGGGATTTAGCTCAGTGGAAGAACACTTGCCTGGCAAGTGTAAAGGCCCTGAGTTTGGTCCTCAGCTCTGGGGGAAAAAAGTATTTGAACTTTAAACAAAATTCACATTTTATTTAGATTGAAATAAACTATACAAAATTGATTTTCTTCACCAAAAATAACAGCAATCTTTTTCTGTATTATCTCTAGATAAACCACAAAACACTTATTTTTGTAGGTTTTTCTTGTAAATCAAGACGAGGCAGTAGATATAATCACGGAAAAAGACAGAAGCAAACAGACAAGTCAGTTGTCTGTGTAGCTGGCCTTGGATTCTGTCTTGACCATGAAGCAGAAATGTTCAACATTTACCTGCTGAAAAGCTTATGAAAATGTAGGCTCAACAAAGGAATGTAAACAGCAACAATCAGATGTAAAGCAGCAAGAGCAAGCTCTTCCATTCAAACTTCAACTGTGGCTTGTTTCTCTGAGTTCCCTTGATAGACAAAAATCTACATGGAAACCTTTGGGTGAGCTTACACATTTCCCTCTCTGGTAATTCCCTTAACTATCCCTTAAGATTTTTTTACCTTTGTGCTGGGCATTGAACCCAGAGCTTTGTGCATGCTAGGTAAGTGCTCTACCCCTGAGCTACATCCCTAGCCCCTGGTTCTTTGAGACAGGATCTCATATGTAGCCCAGGCTGGTCGTGAATTTGACATCTTCCTGCCTCTATCTACCCCGTGCTGCCAAAACAGAGTTTTAACATTATACTTAAAACTCCTATCAGTCAAAAGCCAATGGTGAGCTTCATTTTAACATTTCATAAAATGAATTCCTTCCTTTTCCATACTTCCTCAAATTCATTTTCATCAAATGATGAGTAACTACTTGACAACTAGATCCACAGTGATAATGATGTATCTAAAATGACTTAACTAAAACAGTTCCACAGTGACACTATCAGAGGTCACTCAGAGTCGAAGCACGGCACTTCCAATGCCATTTTCTGGAAGAAGAGACAGGTATTCAAAGCATGAAAATTCAAAAGGGGCCACTTATATAAGCAGATTATCAATGGGTAGTATATTCATTTGGAGGCCTAGAGGCAATGTGGCCTGAACACCTAAACCACTCTTCTTCCAAATATCAAATAAGAGAAAGCCCATTTTAAAAGCCTTTTAAGTATTTTCAACTGTTTCTGAATTATCTGTAGGAAGCTCTGACTTAGTTGTATAAAGTTTGATATATGTGTCCACCATTAGATCCAGATCATGTTTTATATCAAAATTTATGTTAAGCAAAGCCAAGTTACTTGACCTTTGGTCTGTTAAAGTGTTCCTTAAGTATGCTTTGAGGCGTTTTCGTCCATTTTCATAGCGCTCATTTTCAACCTTCATCACAGGAAGAATACATAGGACCTTTAGCAAGGCATATACATTAGGAAAAAACTTGATGTCAGGCAGATGGAGGGCTTCATATATAGTAGATGGAAGCTCTATATCTTTCCCTCTGTGTTTCCACTTAATTCTCCAACAATGAAGCTCAGCTGAGAGAGTATCAGGGTTGGGTAAGTCACTTCGGTACATGTCAGCATGGTGTTCCTCTGATGTGTTGAATTTGAGCTGGCCCATGACTGAGGGAACCAGAGATAAGCATTTAAGAGCTTTGAGGTGTTGTTCTGAGAATATATCTTTAAGTTCCTGAATAATATGCTCCACTGTAGGAACACTTAGGGTTTCTTTATAGTAACTCTCAGAGGTTAGCTGGGATTCCACATTACCTTGCTGGGCCCTACGGAATTTTCCAGGGAGTTTCATTTGGATATCAAGCTTGGTTGCCAAATTTGTGGCTTCCTCAAACCAAAACTCATGATAAACTTCAATGTTTTCCATCACTTCGTTGAGTGAATGAAGCACTGCAGTCAGGCTACTGGCTGCAAAGAAGACATCAGAAGTTTGTCCCTGGAGATTTTTTCCAAAGGCTCTTGTAAAAGATAAGACATTTTTAAGAACAACAACGGTAACAATGAAATCAAAGTCTGTCACTGCACTACAGAGAACAAATGCTCGGCCAGCTATACAGTTGTTCCATCTAGTATTTGTGTCACTATTTATACCATCTAAACACAAAACAAGTGCTTGCAGGAGATCCACTAAAATTTCAAAAGCATCATGCCTGCCTGTCCACTGAGAATGGCAAATTTCCTTCAGTTCCTTGCCTCGTTCTTCACTATTCTGAAAAAGAACAGAAATTACACTGTCAAGTTCTAAAAGCAGTTGTGGTGATCGATGGAAAAAAGAACAAATTTCCTCAATTGTTCCTAATGCAACGGACACCCCTATGACAGGGACTGACTTTGCCAACCACATGTTTAAGGCACAGGAAGAGCAGAGTGTGTAGATAGCTTGAGGATATTTCTCTAAAAGTCTTGAAGCAACAATTTTCATTTTGGAAGAAAATCCACTAGACACAATGTAAGCCTGGCCACGACAATACTCCATATTTAGTCCCCACTTCTCAGTTATTGTAGTATGAAATTTCACTGCCAGAATTTCTGCATCGGCTTCATAAGGCAGAAAGCCCACGAATTCCTCTCTTAGGTTATGTGATTCATCAACAAACCTTACCAATACCGGTAGGTGCTCTTCTCCTGCTATGTCCACCACATCATCAGTGATAATGGAAAAGAAGTGGGAATCTCTTACTTCCCTGAGGGTTTCTTCCCGAATGCAACTCTCACAGATCTCTAGCATCTGTTTCTGCTGTGTTTTAGAGCAGAACAATGTGTTCACTGCTGTGGTCTCGAAGCGCTTTCTCAGGACTTCCTCACCAGAATTTATCCGGCACTCCAGCAGGGCCTGGAAATTATCAGGAGTAAAGAGACCATCTGGGATTTCATCAGCCTCATGCCCGTCCAGAGGAATGTTTTGTTTTCCCATAAGAATCAAAATTTCAAATAGAGACTTTAGGTATTCCTTGTTTTCCTTCTCTTCAAGGGTTAAAGGTAAAATGTCTTCATCTTGCTGGTCACCCTCCTCTGCACTGGGGTTCTGAGCATTGCTGTTGTTTGTTTCTTTGTGTTTTTGTTCCTGTTCAGAAGTTTCATCAACTGAAAAACAAAGAGTTAATTTGACAAATAGACTCTTGAGGAACTAAACAAAAACAACAACGAAATTCACAATTTTGATTAGGTAAACAATTAAAATCCACAAACTCATTCATTCAACATTCATAAGCCATTGATCCCAGGATAGAAAGATTAAAGTAAGACACTAGTGTGGAAGACAAACACTATAAACATATATAGTTCTACAAATAAAATCCAGTAATAAAGTGGGAATAATTTCATATCAATTTAAGGCATTTCACCTGTTATTCGGAACAATAACAAATCATGTCCCCAGAAAAAGGAAGGTGAATAGGTGACATTAACTAAGGCATTAAATATTTCATATGCATCACATTACTTTTTTTTCAGGCAGATGCTATTGACCCCACTTGCCAAAGTGGGGTAAGAAAGATAGAAGTGAAATTCAAATCCAAACTTGTTTAGCTCTAAGATTTTTCTATCAAACCATTAAGCCACACTTTTGTATGGGAGATAAGATGGCTACACAAAAGCCAATGTAATATAGATTCATGTAATTTGCAATTTAATATTAGTATATTAGAAATCTTAGCCTTATCTCTTCATATTTGGATGGTGATCCAAAATAAGATCTACAGGTTAAGTGTTTACAGTCATATCGATCACTGGTGGCACCAGGCAAAGAATTTAAATCTGAAGTCATGGCTAGAACCTAGTTCTCATAACCTAAGACTACAATCAGGCCATCAAAAATGGTAGGGTTTCACTGGAAGGAGGGAGAACAGAAAAATTTATCCTTTTACAGATACGAAAGACATAGCAAAGACATCACATAGCAGAAAGTAATCCAGCAAAAGCACTGAGGGAGAAAAGAAGAAAGCTGTCAAATATAAAGTTAAGTCCAGTCTGGTTGGAGTCCATGTAAGCTATGCTTCCAGGTGATCCAGGTCCTCAGAACTTCAGAAAAAGTGAGGAATACCCTTCCCACACTCCCCTAGGCTCAGATGACACCTCTGTTCATCACACACAATGAAGCAAGTATTCTACGGTTTTAGGTTTTCCCAGCCAAAATGCAAGGTTATGCTGGACACCTGCTTGCTTGCCTCCTCCCCACTTCCTTCCTATTTTTCCTCTCCTCCATTACTAGCTATCAACACATGCCAAGTTTACCATTTCTATATTTCCATAAAGATGTTTACTAAAGAGCACAGAATAGTATCAAGTATAAAGCCAGTCCCTCTACTTTTGGTTATCCTTCTATGTAGAAGTCATTCATATGCAAGTTCCCTGAGTTCTCTCACCTTGCATTGCTGCCTTCCCTACCTGATTTGAACAGTGCTCCACGTAACCATATAACATGGAAACTAGGCCCACATTATCACCTACTTACACCCCTTCAACAGTTCCAACCACCAGCAGCCTGCAATCAGTTAATTTCTGGCTCATTTTCTAAGCACCATGGGTTACCAGAAACTCCAACACCAAAATAAGTATAATTCCCTAAATCTAGCACCAGCCTATTTCTGCATGGAATACCTTTTGCCTCCCTTCTTTGTCTGAATCCATGTTTCCTCATATGTAAAGAAGCCAAACAATATTGTTGAACATAGAGACTGTGAGATTTATATGAATTTATGTTAAGGACTTGGCATTAATCAAGAATTGTATGACTACTAATAACAAAAGGAAGAGATAATGAAGAGTGCCTGTCAAACTGACAAGAACAAAATAATTTCCAGTGCTCATCCTTTGGTGACTCAGCACCTGCAGTTAGGACTACTATGACCACTATGAGCAATGTATCACATTTATTTCTTAAACATTTACCAAGAACTAATTTTGCATCACAAACTGCTACTCTTCCTTCCCTGTCCTAGAATATTCTGTGACCTGCCACTCTTACCACAGAGAGCACCCAGAAGGAAGTAGTCAACTCTGCACTGTCTGTATGTGGTAGTGTGTGTGGCATAATTGCACTCCGAAAAGACAAAATAATCTAAGAATTCAGTCTTTCATAGTTCCTAGCCACAGGACAAAGCCAACCACTCTTACATCCATTCTCACATTAGGTTTTGGATACAAAACATATTTATTTGTCCTTACCAGGACAAGGCCTTTTTAAAAAGACATTCAGAAGCTCAGTCATTAACACTATCACTTACTTTTTTTCTGTTTCAGTGTCCTGATTTCATCTTCACTCTAAATAATAAGAAAAAAAATTCTTTAAGAAAGCTGACCTCTAGTATATTATTATACAATCACAAAAGGCCTGTTTTCGAGCTAAAGTTTACTCATTCAAGAGCCTAAGTTCTTTGTGTTTGCTAGTACTGAGATTGAACTCATCAGGGCCTTGCATTTGCTAGGCAGGTGTTTTACTATTTGAGCCACATATCCAATTCTTTTTACTTTGTTTTTTTTATTTTGTTTTTCAAATAGGGTCTTTCTTTCTACTGGGCCAGTGAGGACCATGGTCCTCTTATCTATTTTCCATGTAGCTGGTATGACAGGAGTGAACCACCATGCCTAGCATGTTATTGGTTAAGATGGGAGTCTTACAAACTTTCTACCCAGACTGGTCTTGGACTGTGATCCGCCCAATCTCAGCCTCCTGTATAACTAATGTTATAGGAATGACCTACCATGTCCAACCATAATTTAAAAAAATATGTTCATTATGAATTTAGATGTAATATTAATTATATGTATTTATCAATCTGTACATGTCTCATATACCAATATACATTAGATGGATGTAACGTCAGTAATTATGTAGTTATATGTACTTGTCAATCTATACACATATGTCTTTATATATTGATGTGCTTGAAAGCTATCTGCTGAGAGATCCTAAAAATGATGAACACAACCAACACTCAGATCTTGTCTTCCTGTACCATTATTAACAGAAAAAAAAAATTAATCTGTAAAGAAATGGGCAATTCCAGCCCCAAAGCAGAAATGTACTAGATGATTTTGGAGCAATTCTTTTTAGTACCACAAAGTAAGGTAGAACCACAAACACACAAAAAAGTAAAAAATACAGTGTATATACCAAAAAAGATACAAAAGCCCACTGAGAGTTTACCATATCAAAGCCTAGAAAAGTCTGAAAGACAAGAGAAAGTATTGCATTATAACCTGAAGCATAAAATAAATTTCCATGGACCCATACTTAAATGGTTGAATAAGAAAGTAAACAGGACAGATTAGATGAGGTGATAACTATTAATTAACCTAATTTTGGCAACTATTTCATGATATATGCCTCATTCTACTTACACACACACACACACACACACACACACACATTTGTGTCCAATTACCCCAATGAAGTTGTAGGAGATTATAAAGCTATAAATATCATGTACGAAATAATTCTGAATCCTCTCTTCCAGCAGATGAGAAGCTTAATTCCAAAAAACTTAAGATAAGTTGCTTAGGGGAGTGGACTCTTAGAGAAAATTCCTTCCAAAATGAGCAGTATAAAAACAAGGAAAATTGGAGAAATCTGACAATCTTTTCCTCAGCCAGGTGAACAAGATGAACATCAATAATGATGTCTTAACAGACTGTCATACTGAAATGATATACCAAATAAATAGGACAACTGAGAAAAGAAGTTAATCTATATGATTCTAAAAGCCATCACTAAATGTAACATGTCATCCAAATAGGATGCTGGAAGAGAAAAAAAAATATTAGGCAAAAACTAAAAAATAATTTGAATAAAGCATATATAGTAAGTTAGCTTTGTATCTCTATAACAAAATATCTAAAACAACAACTTAAAAGGACTTATTTTATTTTGTGACTCATAGTTTCAACATTTCTAGTGCATACTGAGCAGAACATGCCAAGTGAGAGCATGAGGCCCTGAGTTCAAGTCCCAGTTCTGGTGTATACACACATACACATATGCACAGAAAAATATATAGTATGTAGATTAATATGCTGTAAATTAAATACACTGACATGGGTACAAACAGGAAGGGAAAGAGTAAGAATGGTAATAGTGGAAGAAATAAAAATAGTAAAAGAAAGTAAGAGCCTCGCTAGCGGCAAAGAGGATAGAAGACCATGGACTAAGTGGGCTAAGTAATTTTTTTACCTAAGGGCAAAAAAAAACAGGTTTCAATAATCAGCACTGAAAGATATCAAAGGAACATGTAAGTACAAATAAATTATGCCATACTAATTTTAAAGCCTTTTCTAAACCTTTAATAAGGATAGCATTCTTATTTCAAAAACTATCTAGGTCTCAGCTTTTATACTTTATCCCTTTGTGCTGAATTCTAGAACTATACCTCAATTCCATTTCCTTTATTATCAAACAAAGGTAACTCTCCCTGCCCCCGATCCCAAGGAAAAGAACAGTACGCTTTGGCCCAAGTCAACAAGTATTAACTGGCTATATTTGAGGGAGTTTTCCAAATGTGAATAGTACTAAGGTAAACAAATCATCTTATATCCAGGATAGTTAATAAGCACAGCATACATTTCCCATCATGTTATCTTTGAAACAGAGAATAACTTAGATCAATTTATAACACAGATGTGCTTATATTTAATTTCACAGTATTATGAAAATTGAAGGTCCAAAGACATACCAATTCTTTTATTCGTTTTCTATGTCTGCTATGTGGATTGTTCAAATGACTGGTAAGATCAAATATTGTTGGTATTGCATTATCTCGAAGAACGGTCCTGTAAGGACTCTGCAAAAGAAAAATGTGTTAATTCAGAAATGATCCTTCCAAAAAGTGAACTCCTCAGTATTTCAATTATGTCTCTAAAATATATAGGCTTGAAAATTTAATCTTACTCCTGGGAATGGAGTCAGTTCAGGTCAGTTACTATTTGTTTCTGCATTTGTCCTTCTGGCAATCTTTATCTATTCTGTACTTCTAGAATCTATCAAGTCTAGAGGACTTGCAGGTCTCCCAATAAGCTACCCTACTATATGTCCTAAAGCAATGCTTCCCTCATTACCTGCTATTCACACCACTGTGGCCAGTATTACTGAGAAACATCAAGGCTTAGTGAAGATAAAAATATTGGATTGGGATCCAAACCCAAACATCTGGAAACTAGTCCAGTCCCTACCAATGACACCTAAAAGACTAACTAGTGCTTCCTCCTCATTTTAGACCTGTTTCCTTTGTTCATTCAAGTACTGAGATAATTATTTCCCCAAATGAAAACATTCACATATCAATAATGATCATAATGATAACTGTTTCCGTTATATCACCATATGTATTTTTGTATAATATTCTTATCTTTTTTTGTGTGCTGGGCCAGGAGTTTTGAAGTCCCTGAGCTTCTTTTGCTCAAGGCTAGTGCTCTACCACTTGAGCCACAGTTCCAATTCTGGATTTTTAGTAGTTTACTAGAGATAAGAGTCTCATGGACTTTCCTGCTCAAGCTGGCTTCAAACTACAATCCTCAGATTTCAGCCTCCTGAGTAGCTGGGATTATAGGCATAAGCCACTGGCACCTGGCTATGTATGTTTTAAAATCAACATTGTCCTAAGCAAGAAGAAGAAGAAGAAAGAAGAAAGAAGCAGAAGCATCATCATCATCATCTCGTATCATCATCATCATCTCTGGTAGTCTAAATTATATTGTCACAAATTACAAGTTTTCTAATATAAAAACAGATCCATAGCTGGGTGCTGGTGGCTCACTCCTGTAACCCTAGCTACACAGGAGGCTGAGATATGAGGATCGAGGTTTAAAGCCAGCCCAGGCTTTATTCTCCAATAAGCTACCAGAAAACTGGAAGTGGCACTGTGGCTCAAATGGTAGAGCACTAGCCTAGTGCTCAAGACAAGCCCCATGACCCAAATCAACAAAAACAACAAAACAAAAACAACCAAAAAAACAACAACAAACAGAGGCTGGGAAGGTGACTCAGTGGTGGAGTGCTTGCCTTGCATGCATGAAGCCCTGGGTTTGATTCCTCAGCACCACATAAGCAGAAAAGGCTGGAAGTGGCTTTGTGGCTCAAGTGGTAGAACACTAGCCTTGAGCTGAAGAGCTGAGGGACAGTGCCTAGGCCCAGAGTTCAGGTCCCAGGACCAACCAAAAAAAAAAAAAAGTGACGTCTAGAAAGGGAAGGTTTGGGCATGAAATTAAAAATTAGTGATGGAGCTGGGCGCCAGTGGCTCATGCCTGTAATCCTAGCTACTCAGGAGGCTGAGATGTGAGGACTGAGCTTCAAAGCCAGCCTGAGCAGGAAAGTCCATGAAACTCTTATTCTCCAATTAACCATATGAAGACCAGAAGTGGTGCTGTGGCTCAAGTGGTAGAGCACTCACCTTGAGCTGAAGAGCTGAGGGACAATGCCCAGGCCCAGAGTTCAAGCCCTACGACCGACCAAAAAAAAAAAATTACTGATAGAAATGTGTTTTCACATTATCTGTATGATTTTGTTTCTTCCTGTATGTAGCACACAAAAGTATTGGTTCTAACACTAAATCTATAAAATGGCAAAGAGTATTATTCCTAAACGAAGACATCATTCATAAAAAAAAAAAAAACCTCTAGATAAACTGCTCTAAATAAAAACACAAGACATTAACTTAAACTTACACTGTTATAATCACTAGAATTTTTTGTCAGTTCAAAAATGGTTATCTCTGAGTGGGAATGGGATATCAAGAATAGGAGGTTAAAACAAAATAAAGAACAAAATAAAAGTAAATACTCAGTTTCAAATTTATCTTTATTTTAGAGTGTCAGGACATAGGTACACCTTCAATTAATAGATTAAAATTTGCATTTCCAACCAGAGAGAGGGAGGGAGAAAAGCTGAGTCCTTCTATGACTTACAGTTCTACAGATCATGGAGGTCTCAAAGTGTTTGGCACATAGTCGATAATGTTTATTCAGCTGATCAGGTGTTTTGTCTTCCAAATCTGCTCTTCTACAATTCTCTACCCACTTCTGGCATCTACAGGCAAAACCAAATATGGAATATGAGCTCAACATTTAAATTTCAGGATTTGGATTACACACCTGTAACCCCAGCATGAGGTAAAAGGAGAATTACAAGTTTGAGGCAAGCTTAGAACACACCAAGCAAGAGTTTGTCAAAGAAAGAGAGAGAGAGAGAGAGAGAGAGAGAGAGAGAGAGAGAGAGAGAGAGAACAAAACAGCCAGGAGCACACATATAAACCCAGCTTTACAAGAGGCAGAAATCAGGACATTCAAGGTTCAAGTTAGCACAGACAAAAAGTGAGCAAACTCTTATCTCAATGAATAAGCTAGGTATGATGGTCCTAGGTCCAAGGTTCTAGCTATACCTCCCAGGTATAACTGAGGCATAGGTAAAGAGGATCAAGGTTAAGGACAGTTCCAAGCAAAAGTCCTAAGTGCATGCTGAGAGGATGAAATTGTTTGGAACACAGTGTAAATGTGTGGAGATATAACAATGATTCCCCCCCCTCCAACATAAGAGATATAAGCTAATAAAAAAACAAAAACATGAGTAAAAGAAATAATTTAAGACCCTATCTGAAAAATAACTAACAAAGGGCTTGAAGTCAGCTTAAATGAGCACTTGTTTAAGAGCAAAACCCCAAGTTCAAAATCCTATGATTATACAAACATATACATACATGCATAAAAACTAGGTAAATTTCTGCAATGGATTCTTTTCCTTAAAACAATTTGGAGAAGCTGATGAATAGCAAAATGAGATTTAGAAGAAACCTTACAATTCTTTCAATATAAACTCTTTAATTTCAGACAAAGTTAGTAAAACTTGCTGAAAGTATGTATAAAATCAGTAGCAAAACTAGAACTTAAACTTGTATCTCAACTCCCAGGTCATCCCAGCACCAGAAAGAACTCAATGATCAGCAGAACAAGTGAAATGTTTCACAACCCATAAAGCCATCATGCTAACTTCCCCTCAGGGAATCTGTTCATGGGAATAATCAAATGAAGCAATACCATCATTGCAGATAATTAGCAGGTAGAGTTATACTAATGACTAGAGTTTCTGGTGAAAGCATGAAGGCTATATTCATTTACTCATCATAAATATTATTTATTACCTACAATTATAAATATACAAATGAGACTGCAAGCTCTAGGAATGCAGGCTGTTTACATATCTAATACACAATATTGATAGTGAATGCATACACTCTTGGTGTTTAAATTTACTCAGAAAAATAATGATAATAATGCTTACTAAGCACATAAGAGCTAAGAAACTAGTCAAGTCCTCTCTAAAGGTGGATATTATTATCTGACCTCTACAGATGAAGAAACCAAGGCACAGAAATGCTGATTAGCGAAAAGTCACAAGTAGATACTCTCTTCACTCAATGGATAGTCACAAATTTGAATATATTTATCTATAATTATATAATAGTATACTTTCTCATGTCTTAACACTATTGTCCACCCCTATTTGTACTCTTACATTCATTTCCTCTATGCTAAATATGTAAAATCATGGTGATATATATATATATATATATATAATTTTTAAGCTACAATCACACATGTAAACTATACATTTCATTTAACCAAGAAGTATTATACTGCTCAGTAATGATGCGTCTTAGCATTTTACAGTTAAACACCTCATGTTTCAAAATCCAAATATTAAGTATTAAACCTGTCTTACTATAAATCATGCTATACTACTACAGTTAATTACTACAGTTTTTAAATTCTTAATCTCTGGAGATCTTCTACATAGACTACTACCTCTGAACTAAGTTAAAATGGATTTTGATACTACTAACAACTAATTCCAAAAGCAACAGGTTGATTATGGGACAGGCCAACTAATTATACCTATATATTTCCATACCAAATATCTTAGAAATAAATCTAGTGAGAAACATATAAGATCTCTTTCAAAGGATGCATCAATTCTTCCCAAATTGATTTATTAATTCAAAATAATCCCAGTATGTTCATGAGTGAACATATGTGTGTAGGAGAAAAAAAGAAGGGACAAAATTGGGGGAGGGCTGAGAGAAAATTCTACAACTTTTTATACAGACATTCAAAGGCCCCAAAATAGTTAAGACAAACAAGAAAGGAAATTAAGTTGAAAGCCTTATAAAGTAAGGTAAAGGTGTGGTTCAAATGCCTGATTAGCAAGTGTGAGGTCCTGAGTTCAAACCTTAATGCTGCCAAAAAAAAAAAGAAGAAAAAAGCAAATTTACTATTGTCCAAGGATAGAACAATGAAACAAAATACAAGCAGTGAAAATGGATTTTCTTCAATAAACATGGTCAGTTACATATAATTATGAAGATGAAAATAAATTCGAAGTGATCAGAGTTTTAAAATAAATACAAAATAATAAAGCCTTTAAAAGACAGTGCAGAAGGCGGGCACCGGTGGCTCATGCCTGTAATTCTAGCTACTCAGGAGGCTGAGACCTGAGGATCGCGGTTCAAAGCCAGTCTGGGCAGGAAAGACTGTGAGACTCCTATCTCCAGTAAACCACCAGAAAACTGGAAGTGGCGCTGTAGCTCAAGTGGTAGAGTGCTTGCCTTGAGCTGAAGAGCTGAGGGACAGCGCCCAGCCCCAGAGTTCAAGCCCCACAACCGACAAAAAAAAAAGTGCAGAAAAGACCAGCAATTTTCCTTCACTGAAAGAAACCAGTACCATCTGGGCGCTGGTGACTCATGCCTATAACCCTAGTTAATCAGGAGGCTGAGATATGAGATTAAAAGTTCAAAGCCAATTCAAGCAGACAAATCCAAGAGATTGTCTGCCAGAAATAGAACTGTAGCTCAAATGGTACACAGCACTAACCTTAAGCAGAAACAAAACAACTATTTAAACTTAAAAAGGGAAGATATTTGCATTATACCTATCCATCCAATGATGAACTCATCTGAAATATATGTATGAAAAACTCCTACAAATAAATTAGACAACTCAATATAAAAATGGGCAAAGAATCTGAACAGGTACTTAAAAATATAAAAAGATCATTGAAATGGTCTTTTGGGAAAAATATTTTAAAGCCCATTCTTATCAACTAAATACTAATTAACACCATAACAAAACATTACTATACACCCAGAAGAATAACTACAGTGCAGAAGAGATAATAGTAAATGTTGTAGAGGTAAATCCACTTTGCCCCTCATAGTAGAAAAGGTAAGTAGTAGTGTTCAATGGAATCCTATCTGCCATGGAAATAACAAACTACCTATGGGCTCAAAAATACGTAAAATGAAGAAGCCAAGAGAAAATGTTTTATGATTCTTATTATATGAAATTCAAGAACAGCCAAATGAAGCAATGGTTTTGTTCAGTTGAAGAGTTAACACATGAATGGAAGTCCCATGTACAACTACTTAAAGATAATAAAAATATTTTTTAAAAGATACTAAAAAAATAAAGAGCTAACACATGAGGCTTGAAATTGGTATCCTTGGAAAGGCCTTTTTGTTAAGAGCCTTTGGAAGATGTCTGAGAACTTGGCTGGTACATGGTTTCCTACACAGTCATAAAATATTTCCTGACTGGTAAGGTAGCTCACTGTACCTAGACTGTATAGACAATATTGAACAACTGCTTCCTTCTGGGAATGTGAAGTTTTAGTACATGCTAGGCAGAAACTGCCTAGCTGAGTAGGCCCCAATTAAAAACCCTGGGTTCTGGGTCTCTAATGGCAGCTCCATTTTCATTGCTGAGGAAAAAATGGGCTAAGTGTGACAGGAGGTAGAGTGTATAATGAATATCTCTTAACTCCCCGATTCCCTCCCCTGACAATCCAGGTATATGTAACTTTACTACATTGCTATGATACAGCTTAGCTTTGAATGCAACTAGATAAGGAGTCTTGGAGTCCTAGTGAACTTCTAAATAGGGACTGATCTTGAGACTCCTCAATATAGTGATAGAACAGTAGATACATTAGGGAGAATTAACACCTGAGAGTAGTACAAAGTAGTTTCTGAGGTCTAGGTCACATTCAAGATTCCCCTCATTCTTCCCCCTACCTCCAAAACTTAACTAATATAAGGTATTTGAAGTCACACTATTGAGGGCAGTGGGATAATGACTGGGAAGGCAATGGAGGTATGAAAAGGAGGTTGGGATGCTAACAGTGTTTTTCAAAAATTTCATTCACATGTCACTGAAAACCCAATGTGCTTCATATACATTTATGATTTCTGACCAGTGTATGTATGTTTTTGCATCAATAAGATTTAAGTTATCTATGAAAACAAGTAACTTTCTTCTATGCATGTATGGATGTTATTTATATACATATATAGAGTACACACTTACATATCTCTCAGATTTTTACCCATGTCTCTCCCTTGTTATTCTCTGTTCCATGTACTCTAGACTAGCCTTTTCCTTTTGTAGAGTGATATCCTGAATCTCTCTCTCTCTCTCTCCTGAACAATCTTTTATTTAATTCATTAAACAACAGCAACATTGGCCAGCCCCAGTGGCTCACACCTGTAATCCTAGCTACTCAGGAGGGATTGTAGTTCAAAGCCAGCCCAGGGCAGGAAAGGCTGTTAAGATTCTTATCTCCAATTAATCACCAAGAAAACCAAAAGTAGAGCTGTGGCTCAAAGTGGTAGAGTGCTGGCCTTGATCACAAAAGCTCTAGGACAGCGTCTAGGTCCTGAGTTCAATCTCCATGATTGACCAAAAAAAAAAAAAAAAAAAAAAGCAACATCACTGTCCATTAACATAATATTCTAATGAAAAATGCATTTTCAAAATAAACAATGCTTAACAAGAAATGACAGTTTTCATCTTTGCAAATCTCTTTAAAGTCTAGCTTAACAGAAAAAAAGTGGGATTCTCATATCTGCTTTTGTATTTACTCAGTTGCCATAAATCCAGCCCGACAGTTTCAGCCAGTTTAAGACTATTAAAGCACATTTCCCACAGGGCACCAGTGGCTTACACCTGTAATCTTAATTACTTAGGAAGCTGAGATCTGAGGATTGCTTTTCAAAGCCAGCCTAAACAGGAAAGTCCATGAGACATCTCAAATTAACCACCAAAAAGTTAGAAGTGGAGCTGTGGCTCAAGGGGTAGATAGCTAGTCTTAAAAAAAAAAAAAAAAGGCTTAAGGACAGCACCCAGACCCTCAGTTCAAGCCCCTAGAAATGGCACAAAATGAAGACATAAACATACACATATATTCCCCTTTATAATGTAATTTTAGATAGTCACCAAAATACACAAATGACAGTATCTTCAAAATCAGCCTTTTCACACTTGGTTATATTAAACTCCATTGTTCTATCTTACAGTTTCAACAGATCTTTTTATCTATTCATGTGTCTATAAAAATCATAAATTAGGTCTGGGAAGTTGGCTCAGTGGTAGAGTGCTTGCCTTGCATGCATGAGGCCTTGGGTTCGATTCCTCAGCACCACATAAACAGAAAAAAGCTGGAAGTGGTGCTGTGGCTCAAGTGGTAGGGGGCTAGCCTTGAGCTGAAGAGCTGAGGGACAGCACCCAGGCCCAGAGTTCAGCCCCCACAACTGACCAAAAAAAAATAATAAAATCATAAATTATTATTTTAAACAATGACTTAAATATACAAACCATCCAATGGTTAACATTACATACAACATAAAAATTATTAGGGCTGGGAAGGTGGCTCAGTGGTAGAGCACTTGCCTTGCATGCCTGAGGCCCTGGGTTCGATTCCTCAGCACCACATAAGCAAAAAGAAAAAAGCCAGAAGTGGCGCTGTGGCTCAAGTGGTAGAGTGCTAGCCTTGAGCTGAAGAGCTGAGGGACAGCGCCCAGACCCAGAGTTCAGGCCCCATGACCGGACCAAAAAAAAAAAAAAATTATTAGATTCAATGTTGTCCATGACTTCATCAGAAAATTATTTAGGATTAGAGTTGTCAAGTTCGTGATAGCATATATCAATTTTCCAACATTGTAATTTTCACCTCAATTCTACAATGTTAGTTATTTTCCTTAAGTGATAAACTTATTAGCTGGGTATGGTGGAACTGCTTGTAATCCCAGCATTTGGTGGTTGAAGAAGCAAGACTGAGTTTACGTCAGCCTACATGACAAGATCTTGTCTAAAAAAAAAAAAAAAAGCAACAGGCTTACTTCATTTATTTTTGAGAAGATGTCTACCAAACAACCAGATCTGATCATATATATTTTTTAACTCTAAAAAACACAATATTCAAATTATCTGAGCAATGATGCTTTAATGTTTCTATCCCACCCCACCCCAGCCAATCTCACCCTATATACTCCTGAAAGGACACATATTAAAAAAAAAATAACATCAGTGCTGTTATGAAAATAGCTTCAACACTGCAAATTCTCTTAAAGGGCCTTGGGAACGGCTATGATCTGAATGTGTCTCCCCACCTCCCAACTCACATGTTGAGACTTAATTCTCAGTGCAATGGTGTTGGGAAGTGGGACATCTGCAGGGAGACTAGGTCAAAAGGGAAGAGTCCTTTAAAATGGGTTTAATACTTGTATAAAAGATGCCAAAGTGTCAGGCTCTAGTGGCTCATGCCTGTAATTTTAGCTACTCAGGAGGCTGAGATCTGAGGATCTCAGTTCAAAGCCAATCTGGGCAGGAAAGTCTATGAGACTCTTATCTCCAATTAATCAAAGAAAAAGCCAGAAGTGGTGCTGTGGCTCAAGTGGTAGAGTGATAGTCTTGAGCCAAAAGAGCTCGGGGACAGTGTCTAAGCCCAAAGTTCAAGCTCTAGGACCAGCCAAAAAAACCAAAAAAACAAGGCCCAAGAGATTTTGTTTCCTCTTCTGCCATGTGAGGAAACAGCAAGAAGGTACTTTATGAAGCTAAGAACAAATCCTCTGGCTAGACACCAAATCTGTCGAAGACCTGGCTTCAGAATTCCCAGCATCCAAAACTATGAGAAATTAAAGTCCTGTTATTGATAAATTACCCTGTCTAAGCTATTTTGTTCCAGCAGCCCACATGGACTAAGACAAAGATGTTCATAAATCCCCATAAAGGCTATTGTTTGTCATTTTACAAGACAGAACAAATTTCAAATAATCTTGATTAAATCTACCAAAGAACCTTGGAAGAGCAGGATACCATGCCTCATGCCTGTAATCCTAGCACCTGAGGAGCTGAGATCTAAGGATTGCAGTTTGAAATCAGCAGGGCAGGCAAGTTTGTGACTCTATTTCCAATAAACTACTAAAAACCCAGAAATGGAGCTGTGGCTAAAAGTGGTAGGGTGCTGGCCTTAAGCACAAAATCTCAGAGACAGTGTCTAGCCTCAAAGGACCAGCACCAAGAAAAGAAATAAAAAGAACCTTGGAAGTCTTCACTCTTAAGGTTGAGGTAGCATTAATTGCCTAAGGAGGAAAAGAGCTTCAATTGCTCAACTTACTCTGGGTGCAATTAATTAGCTCCACAAGTAATTTTTACCTGATTTGGGAATGAGTAAGTTGCCCACATGTTTCCACCAGGACTTTTTATTAGGCAAGCCACCCGAGGATAGGTTGGTAACCAACGACCAATTTTAGGTATGAATGACTTCCATGCATGGCCCTAAGTTGAGTTAACCCTTATAATATTTCACTTTAAAAAGGCACATTATGCCAGGTGCTGGTGGCTCACACCTATAATTCTAGATACCAGGAGGCTAAGATCTGAAGATTGTGGATCAAAGCCGGCTCAAGCAGGAAAGTCTGTGAGATTCTTCTCTCCAATACTCAAAGAAGTTGGAAATGGCCCTGTGGCTCAAATGGTAAAGCACTAACCTAGAGAAAAAGAATCTCAGGGACAGAACCTTGGCCCTGAGTTCAAAACCCAGAGAGGTACACAAAAAAGGGCCCCAAACTAGTAAGAACTATGATGATACCCAAATCCCACACTTTCAACTTTTTGTTTTTGTTAGTACTGTAGTTTGAACTCAGGGCCTCAAGCTCACTCTGCTTGCTTAGCTGCTGCACTACTGCCTAAGCCATGCCTTTAATTCATCTTTTTGCTGGTTAGAGATGGAGTCTAGTGGGTTTTTTCCAACCACACTGTTTTAAACAGCAATCCTCCAGATCGCAGCCTGAGTAGATATAGGCCATGCATCTCCCCAGGATGATGAAAAGGGCACTCAACTATAAATGGACAGAAATGACCTGTATTCCTTAATCAGTGTTCCCTGTTACTCCTTTCTTCTAGCCCCAGGCAACCACCAATCTATCTATGGATTGCTCTATTCTGGATATTTCATATAGTGTAGCACATATGATACTTCATTTTTTTTTTAGAACATTCTATTGTATTAGTATACATTCTGTTTATCCATTTATCTGTTAATAGACATTTGGACAATTTCCATCTTTTGACTATTGAGAGTAGTGCTATGAATATCTATACATTTGTTTTTTCTATTAGTACCTGTTTACAATGCTTTTGGATGTACACCTAAGGGACTACTGGGTGATATGGTAATTCTGTTTTTGGTTCTGATTTTGAACTATCTTAACAACTAATGATGTGGGGCATTTTTTCATGTGCTGTGAGTCACTAAGTTATCTTCCCCTTAACTGTAAGAAGTCTTTATATAAATATACATATTTTTATATATTGACTAGATCATTATCAAGTTGTATTATTTGCAAACATTGCGTTCATGCTTTTCTACTCTCTTGGTATATCTTTTGATACACAAAAGTAGTTTTGATGACAATCAACTGTTTTCCTTTCACTGTGTTTCAGTATTATCTTGAGGTCATCTGCCTAACTATAGGATATTTTAAATCCATTTCTGTATATTGTATGAAAAAAGACATCTATTTTTGAGAGTCCATCAAACCCTTCAAATGTTACATGTCCTAGATCAAATTGCAAACATCATTTCACCGAGCCCGCTTTTCTCAGTTTATCTCAGTAAAGCTTACTTAAAAAATCTTAGGAGCCATTTTTCACTCCTTTTTCTCTTACAATCCACATCTAAAACTCTTCAGTGAATTGTTGGCCTCACCTTCAAACCTTATCTGAAATGCAACAATTTACACCTCCTCTTCTACTAATCTTGATTACTGCACTAATCTTTCATTGATCTTCCCGCTTTCACTTTTGCTTCCCTGCATTTAATAACCAGCCAGTGATTTTGTTAAAGTAAAAGCCTCTATGCTCCGAATTCGCTCCTAGGAAACTATCTCACTCATTTTCACATCGATTCCCACGACCTCACAAGTGTCCCCCTCCGTTATCCTCACAATAACCAAGGCTGATGAGTAACGGTCAAGGCCTGAATTTGAGCACTGTGTAAATGACAAGTCGGAGGGAGGCGGCAGCTGTGACCAGACTTGAGATGAAGGCAGGCAGCCCGGCTGCAGACAGAAACACCGTCCGGGGGGAGGGGGCAGCGCCAGGCCCTGAAGACCACAATGCTGGATTCCAAGTCCTTCTTTGACAGCTGAGGAAACTGAGGCCGGGGGGGGAGAAGAACGGCGCCCCGAAGTCACAGCGCCAGAGAACCAGGACCGGAGCCCACCGCGTCCCCCCAGCGGCTTCACATTCCGGGAGGCAGCCTGGCCGCGGGTCCCCCCGCGGGCGCACGTGCTCCCAGCCGCTCCCCACGCCCCTCTGCTCCAGCCTGCGGCCGGCAGCGCGCCCGGCGCCCTGGGCCCCGCGGCCGGCTCCGACGCGCCCTTACCTGGCCGGGTCCCGCGGGAACCTGAAGAAGGCCAGGTCGGACTGCGTGCTCTTCCGCGTACAGTTGGGGGCCGCGCAGAAGTTCGGCATCGTCGCTCGCCCGCCGGCCGGTCCCGCTCTCCCCTCCCCGCCGCCTCGGGGCCGTCGGCCCGCCCGTCGGGGCCGGGGAGGGGAGCCGGGCCGGCCGGCAGGCTCGGCAGGGCGACGCGCGGGGAGGGGCGGCGCGTGAGCAGCCGCGAGGGGCAGGAGGGGCGCGCGGTCCGAGGCCGGGCTGGGGACGCAGCTCCACAGTGCTGTGAGCGGCCGGGAGGATTTACCGCCACCGCCGCCGCCGTCGCCGCTGGTGCACCTCCCGCCCGCCCGGGACGCTGCCGCCTCCTTCCCACAATGCACCCCGGCGTCCGGGGGTGCCCTCTCTTCCCTCAGCCTTCCTCCTCCGCCTTCCTTTGGGCCGACCTCTCCGCGGGCGGCCGCGCGCACAGAGGAACGCCTGCCGGGGTGTGGCGGGGGAAAGGGCGGGGCCTGGCGTAGCTGCAGCAGTGCGCCTGCGCCAAGCTCGGGCCGGAACTGCGCACGCGGGTCAGTCTCCAGAGGCTAGTGGGCGAGCTCGGCGTTGCTTCGGTAGGTTTGGCGTGCGCTGGTTTTTGCAGATTTGGGGCAAGCGTGCACATTGCAAAGCTGTTGCGTCTCTCCTGGTTTGCTTAAGTTGCCACCACTTAGGCATCTGTTGTGGAAATTTCCATAAGACGCTTAGGCGGGCCGCGGAATCCGGACGACTTCGGCGTCTGACATGCAAACTGGCGGCCGAGCTGGCTGCACCAGGACGCACAGACGTGCGTTGTATGGGATTTTATTTTCCTCAGCATCGCCTTTGGCCCTATCGGCTTCTCACATCGGGGCCTCCCTAGCGATATCTAGACACTGAAGGACGAAAAATTCAGAAAAGCAATTACTTTTTCCTCGTGAGGCTTCCAGAGCAAGAATAACATGATCACACCTGCAGCACCTTAAAGATTGATCCTACCTTCTCTTTTCTGCTCACAATCGTGGCCTGTTAACCTTCCTGTGTTGTGTAGTGCCAGAGTGACCACTATTTAGAGCAAAGGATTAGTAACAGATTTTGTGTGAAATTGAACAAATCTGTGAGTGAGAAAAACCACCTTTTATAAGAAGCCTGTGGAGATGAAGTTATGACATGGGCCCGAGTTTTTGATTGGCATTTAAAGAAGGGCAAGAAGATGTTCGAGTTTGAAGTACGCACTGGTGGTCCAGTCACCCACAGGACCGATTAAAACACGGAAGGTCAAAAACTTGGTTTGTTTAGACAGGCAGTTAATGATGAGGATGATGGCTGAAGAATTAAATTTAGATAAATTGTTGGACTCATCCTGAAAGAAAACTTGAACATGAACGTTTCTTACAAAGTTATGGCAGGTATTTTGAAGGATGAGCCTACATCTGGCAAACGCGACTGGATCTGAAACTAGGAAAAATAACGTACGTGTAAGGGAAAAGGTGACAAATTCTGGAGCATTGAGTTATCTGCAGAACGGATCTGATGGGGTAATGTCTCTGTTATCACATCCCTGAACCTACTACCCTACCATCTGACGTCGGCAGGGGTCATCTGCAGCAAGCCTTCCCACGAGGTTGCTCAGGATTGGTTTACACCCTGGTGAAAGGAACTAGAGTAGTTGAACCTCCAACAAGGAAGCTGTCTCTTGTTAGGCACCCTCATCTACTGCTCTTCTCCCTGTTATGAACCTGCTACTTAATTTGTGCTGGACTATGGGGCCATCCTCATCCTTCTCCACTTTGGAATGCTTTTGATGGTTGACTTCTGGGGTTTGGTTATTCTTGATTTTCTTGGCTTCACAAAATTTGAATCTCTTTATTTCTCCTTCCTCAGCTTGCCAGGGATGTCTTGTTCCTTTGTGTTCATCATTCTGCCCATGCCAGTGAGAAGTTGGGGATTGGATCTCCTAGAGTCCTGGTTCTTCTGGGAGGATGCCTAAAGAAGGCCTACAGTTTCAGTCTGCTTTGCAGTTAGGGCCCCAGGTATATTGCAGAAGACAGTAATATGCTGGTATATTGAACCAGGCTGGGCCTAATAGCTGATCTGACACAAATGACTTAGCGGAAGCCCCCCAGAACCCAGGGGTTGCCCTCCAATACTGATCTTCTCACAGACCTTCTCACAGAAGAGCTGTGTTTATTTCACTGTAGTTCTGGGCTTTGGCCTTCTATTTACTTGAGTGTCCCCTCTGCTGGAAGAGAAGGCTCTACAATATGTAAGTCAGGTTATAGGCCAACACTGTAGTATTTTAAGAGAAAGACCGGCCGGGTGCTGGTGGCTCACACCTGTAATCCTACTTAGCAGTAAAGCTACTTAGGAGACTTAGATCTGAGGAGCAAGGTTCAAAGCCAGCCTGGGCAGGAAAGTCTGTGAGACTCTTACCCAATTAACTACCAGAAAACTGGAAGTAGTGTTGTGGTTCAAAGTGATAGAGCGCTAGCCTTGAGCTGAAGAGCTCAGGGACAGTGCCCAGGCCCAGTGTACTCATTACCTTACTTATGTAACTGTAATACATCTGTACATTACCTTTACAATAAAATAAAATTCTTTTTTAAAAGAGAAAGACCAGGTGACATTCCAGACCCTGATGTAAGGAAATCTGGGGTCTAGTACCAGTTCCCACACAATGACCTGGTTTTAGTAACTAACACCAATAATACGAAGTGTCTTTTGAGAATGTGCTGTTTTTAGAACACTACTGGGCATCCAGTGTGAAATTCTGAAACAAGATCACCAGTGTGTATAGGCTTCATGGAAGAGGTAGTTCTTGAACCAGATTCATGAAGAAGGGCTTTGAGATTAGGAGAACTTCCCAGGAAGTGGAACAGCATGAGACTTGGAACTTGTATCAGTAGGAAATGATGGCATCATCGGCTAAAATAGTGAAGTTTTAAAGGGAAAGATAGAGCCAGACATGGTGATGCACACTAGTAATCCCAACAGATGGAAGGATGAAACAAAGATCGTGAGTTAAGCCCAGCTTGGCCCAGAGGAAGATAAAGGTGTTGGAGATGAGCAATTTGGGATAATTTGTTTCCTGTCTTCTGCCACTGATATTATGTCTTTATACCAATAGTTTATAATTGCTTCCCCTGGGTCTGTGAATAGGTTTATAATAACTCACTTATATAATTATCTCAGATTTGGGGGAAGTAAAATGACTGCTGTAATATTCACCTAGAGAAAAACACGTTCATTGTGGATGTTACGAATCATTAAACCCAAGCTAAATATGAGCTCTTAGGAATAACCCCAAACAGGAGAGTTCTTTTATAAAAGTGCTCTTTATGTGCCACCCACCAAATCCACTTTCTTACCTACCTGCACCTTGTTTCCCAGGCATCTGCAGATCCAGCTGTGGCTCTCATGATAGGATCTGCAGGTATCTGTCAATTTATTCTTCACCAGTTAGTTGGCTGGCTGTTCTCTGATTCTTTGGTACTTTGTTTTCTGGTTGTAGACTTTACCTCCAACAGCTGCTTTTGATCACTGGCTATACTGAATTGCCTTTTTTTTTTTAAACCCATCCACCTCACAACTCCTCTTTCCTTGGATTTTTGGATTGTCCTTTCAGCTCTTGACTTCATCTGTGGTCCACTGGAACAGAAGTGGCCTACTCTAGCTTTAGCCTCATGTTGCCTTCCTAGCTTCAAGAAGTGGAGGGGGGTTACATAGAGATATGACCTGTTCTTGTTTATGTTCTTGGTCTTGTATGTGTGTGCGCGCGTGCCTGTGTGTACACGCACTATGGCCAGTCCTAGGCTATTCTAAAATGCATGCCATTTCTGATGAACTTCCAAAAAACATAAATAGAAATAATCTCACATACTTTCCTGCCTGAGCCGGCTTCCAACATCAATCCTTAGATCTCAGCCTCCAGAGGAGCTAGGAGTACAGGCTTGAGCTACCGCGCCTGTCTTTGTTTTTGTTATACTTCCCAGATTGGACCATTGTTACCAGTTTCTCAAGGAAGAGATACAAAGCTATAACACACAGATCTATTCTCTCAATAGCTCTGTTTTGTCTGGCAGGAGATGTTCCACCTAACTGCAGAACATAAAGCCAGGATTTCTGTGGAATGTTAGGAGGAGAGCTGGCTATCTGCAAACCTTGACTAATTCTCAAGCTTAATGTAACCTGGGGCTCTCTTTGGCTTTCAGGCTTGTCTTCCTTTTAACCTCCATCTCACCCCATTCTCCTTCAAAATTCAAATAGAAAGTTAGATGACTGAAAGTACCTTTTAGGTCACAACATCCGTCATTGATTTTATGTAATTCTTCCTGGTCTCCCATCATTGCACCCTACTTTGCTCCATTTACTCCAATAATAATGATCAAAGAAAGACAAAATGTTCACCAAATCTTTAACTTAGAAATGTTTAACCAAATCTTTAACTTAGGATGTTTCTACAGTGTCTGAATTCTACCCCTGGCTCCGAATTCCTTATTAAAATGGCATCATTTAGCTGGGCATGGTGGCATATGCCTGTAATAAGGCAGGAGGATTGCGAGTTAAGGCAGGAGGTTTGCGAGTTAAAAGGAAGTGTGGGCTACATTGTGAGAGCCTGTATCAAAAAAGAATTAAAAAAAGCTATAATTGAGAAGAAATTAACCTGGTACCTCCTTTCTAGAGCATTCCTTTCAGATCCAGTCTTGATCGAAGTATGCATTTATTATGTGGATATCTACTGAGGGAATAGAGCACTATGGGGAACTTGTTGGCACTGAATCATACACACTTCAGTTTGCCTGTTGTTGAAGATACCATTGGTCATGCTCCACTTGGATTTTAGGTCTCTGGGTCTCCAGTAAATGTCCCTTAGCTTCTGAAATGTATGTTGCTTTGCATTCCTCAGGTGTGGCTTCAGTTGAATTAGCCCCCTCAGATTTTCCAGGCTTGTACATCCTATCTAAGGCAACCCTCATGGATTTATATCTCTGCCTTATCTGATCCTTGTATATACTATGCAAGATGTATCATCCTCCCTGTATTAATATCCCTAAACTTACCAAAAAAAAAAAAAACCCAACAACCTAGTAGGGAGCTTCATTGCCTCCAAGGACCCATTTAAGGGTGTCAGCAGATTTTCATAAAAGATATATATCCTGAACTTGTGGGTCATGTGTCTCTGTTACAAAAGCAGATAGCTAGTATGGAAACATGAGCATGGTTATGTTCTCATGAAACTTTATGTAAGATACTGGAATTTCAATTTCATAGATTTCACAAAGTATTTTGATTTTCCCCCAACCATTTAAAAATGTAAGAAAATAGTAAAGAGAAGAAAAAATCTTTAGCTATGGTTCATACAAAAACAGGTGGTGAGCTAGACTTACATCATGGGATATAACTTGCCTATCCCTCATCTAGTGTAGCTCAAGTGTGTTTATAATAATAACAGATGGTTGATTGCTTTCCACCAATAGCATTGTTAATGCCAAGTTGATTGGGCAGTGCCTCACAATGTACTACACAGAAACTGTGGAAGATTGGAGGGAATCTTAATGAGACCAGGAGAATGATCTACAGCTGAGTGATTGACTACTACTTTGTTTTGATCATATTATGGTTTATAGAATGAATTTTGTGCTGTTTTTGACTAAAAAAATTGTATTACACAAACTGCTACCTACATACTTCCTATGAAAAATATCAAAGGCTTTTTGTGGTGCGAGGTGGGTCAAGTGGTAGAATACCTGGTTGGCATGCACAAAGCACTGTGTTCAATCTGCAGAACAGCAAAACGAAACAAAACACCTATTTGGGCAGTACTAAAAATGTTGACAAATTGCAATCAGAATGGATGGACACACACAAACATGCACATACACAGAAACACACTTGGTAACTAGTATTGAGTATGTACATTTAAGTATGTCTATTCATCTTTAAGCTCAACCTATCTTTCTGTATCATCATTAAAACTGAGTTTACAAAGTTGCAATAGAATTTCAGAATTGAGTTGACTGCTGATTAATTAGCCATATTTCCTCTGAACTAAGAGTGTTTAAACCTACTTCAGGCTGAAAAGCCATTTGAAAGAGAAGATTCTGTGTTAATTCATTTAACAAATGTTTATTAAGTGAAAGTTATTGCCAGGTGCTGTTCTGCGTGCTGGAATAGAGCAATAGACAAAACAGGTACAAGACTTAGTTTTTTTTTATTATTAATAAGTTTTTTTTTATTGTGAAAATACCATACAGAGGGGTTACAATTACATGAGCAAAGTACTAAGTACATTTCTTATCAAGCATTGTTGCCTCCTCCTTTGTTTTTCCCCTACCATCCCTGCCCTCCCATCTCCATGACTACACTCCCCCCACCAAAGTTGTAAAGTTCATTTTTCAACATAGCATTTTGTACATCTCGCTGTTGCAATGGGTCC